GACAAGCCTCACATGTGCGGGTTAATGCTATGTCCTGGCTGTGTGGGCCTCTCCCCTCCTGCTGCGCCAGTCCCTGGTGAGGGTCCCTGACAAGCTGAGAGACCCCATCCCCCAGGTATGCCTCACTGTGCGTGTTGGGGTCCAACCCCAACAGGTCCAGGGGTCCCCAAAGGTGTGGACGGATTTGGCGAAGAAGGAAGGACTCAAAGGCAGCATTCAGTTGATCAGCATGGTTGGGTTCTCCCTCCAGGATCTCCAGCCAAGTTCTGTCTAGGTTCTCCAGCCAGGTTCGGTCGCCAGGTTCTGTAGCCAGGTTCCAGCCAGGTTCTATCCAGGTTCTCCTGCCATGTTCTGTTTAGGTTCTCCAGCCAAGGTCTGTAGCCAGGTTCTGTCCAGGATCTTTTGCCATGTTCTCTCCCTAGGTTCTGTCTCTAGGTTCTGTATCTAGGTTCTGTCTTCTGTTGTCTTGTTACATCTGTATTTATACCAGTTGATTTTAATCCTGTCAATTTCTATTGCAAAGGTTAGGGCATTTCTTATCTCCATTCCAGGGAGTAAAGATTATGTAGCTTAAGAGTGATTGTTTGTAGTTAAAGTGATTAACTACCCACCTGGCACTTAGTTAAGGGGTTTTATTCCTTCCCTAACTTCAGGGAAAAATTCCTACCTGGGGAAACAACCTTTCTTGGAGAGGTGACCTTGGTTAAAACACATAGCGCCAAGAAGGGGAGCAAACATATTAAGAACAGTATGCCATATACGCCAGGTCCCTTGAAACATATGCTGTGCAGATGTTTCTTCTCTGCAGCGACTGTGTCAAGCAGCAAGGATGGACCGGCTCCCGGCATGTGCGTCTTTTTTTTTTTAATTTAAAAAGTTATTTAGTTACTTCCTATTGGGGGCCATTTCTCCTACTCCCCCACCCCCTTCCTCTGGCAACCACCAGACTGTGGAGACCACCACTGTGTCTGGCTGCAGGACTTTGCGACCTTGCTGTCCCATGACTCCTATTTTAACCTCAGCTGTCCTGTCTGGACAGTGTTTAGGGGTCTGAAGAGAATGCTGTGTCACCTCAGCCGGCCCCAGGCCTCTTGAACAAACTCTACCTTTTAAAGCTTTTTTACCCAGGGGACTTCCAGATTTATAGCCAAGAAGCCCCCTTCCTTCAAAGGTCTGCTGAGACTTTAGCTTTGATTAAAATATATATATATATTTTTATTGATTTCAGAGAAGAAGGGAGAGGGAGATAGAAACATCAATGATGAGAGAGAATCATTGATCGGCTGCCTCCTGCATGCCCCCTACTGAGGACTGAGCCTGCAACCCAGGCATGTGCCCTTGACCAGAATGGAACCTGGGACCCTTCAGTCCACAGGCCGACCCTCTATCCACTGAGCCAAACCAGCTAGGGCTAGCTTTGCTTTTAAAATGCCTTCTCAGGGCCTTCATTTCCTCGTTATCAAAATTAGAGATATTATATAAACCCTCTCTAGGTCTAGGATTCTGTATTAATCAGGTTGGAGTACCTTAACAAAACACCGCAGGCTGGGTGGCTTAAACAACAGAAATTTATTTTCTCACAGTTCTAGAGGCTAGAAGTCTGAAATAAGGTCCAGCATGGTCAGCTCCGGGTGAGGGCTCTCTTTCTGGCTTGTAGGTGGCCGCCTTCTCCCTGCGTCTTCACATGGCTGAGTGCTGGTGCCTCTCCTTCTCATAAGGGCACAAGCCCTATTGACCTCACTTAACCTTTGTCACCTTTTCACATGCCTCATCTTCAAATACAGTCACATTGGGGGTTAGGGCTTTAACATAAGAATTTTAGGGGGACACAAGCATTCAGTCCATAACAGATGCTATGGTTGTTCTGAGGAAGAAATGGAGAGGTAATATTTTTATATTTCCAATAGGGTGGGGCAGACGGGGGGCGGGGGAGATTGGCCACACCTGCTGAATGAGGGGAGAACTTGGGACTGAAGATGTGCACTTCTATTAGAAGTGGTTATCCTCGCCGAAACCGGTTTGGCTCGGTGGATAGAGCGTCGGACTGCGGACTGAAGGGTCCCGGGTTCGATTCCGGTCAAGGGCATGTACCTGGGTTGAGGGCACATCCCCAGTGGGAGATGTGCAGGAGGCAGCTGATCGATGTTTCTCTCTCATCGATGTTTCTAACTCTCTATCTCTCTCCCTTTCTCTCTGTAAAAAATCAATAAAATATATTAAAAAAAAAAGTGGTTATCCTCACCCCAGACTACTTTGTCACCCTCTGTGGATAGAAGAGAAGCCAGGACCCCAGGTGTAGAGGGTGGGGCTGGGAGCCAGGGCTGGATCTGCCCCAGGTGTCCGGGAAGGTCTGTGGATACTATTGGGGACCATACTGGCCAACTAAACATGACGGAGCAGAGTTAGTGTTGTTGACTGTGCTGGGCAGGTTTATATATTAGGATGTGTGTTCATATTAGGATACCAGCTAAGAAAGAATGCAGTCAGTGTGGAAGGAGAGATGCCATCAAGATTTAAGCATTAATTTGTAGGATTTTAGAAATAGAGAAGGAACTGTCAGTGGTATCAAGATGGCAGCTTTGCAGTGGCAGCCTCAGGGGCCTGGCGGGGAGGAGGCGGTCTGAGCTACCAGGAATGCAGTCAGCGTGGAAGGAGAGATGCCATCAAGATTTAAGCATTAATTTGTAGGATTTTAGAAATAGAGAAGGAACTGTCAGTGGTATCAAGATGGCAGCTTTGCAGTGGCAGCCTCAGGGGCCTGGCGGGGAGGAGGCGGTCTGAGCTACCAGGCACAGGGACACCTCCGAGTGTTTCTGAGGCAGGCGAGCCTCAGGTAGATGCAGGGCGAGCCTCAGGTAGATGCAGGGTGCTGGGCCCACTCCTTCCCCAGGTGCTAAGGGCACTGCTGACACTGAGGCTGAGTACCTGTGAGGCCGGGGTAGCCAAATAAACGGGGTCAGGATCAGGACCTGGAGGTGGGGCCATGGAAAGTGGGCTGACGCTGTCAGGAGGGACGCACTGTGAATGTTGGAATTTTTCCAAGGGTGATGGTCAGGGGGCCTCAGGCGAATGAAGGGCACATCTTTCTTAGTCCCTGTATTAGGAAGGCAAGATGCTGACCTAGATTTACTAGGGTAAAAAAAAATTTTTTTTTCTTAATGAGTAATAGAAGTGTAGTGAAGAGAGGTAAAAAATTCTATTTCTTGTTAACCAGTGGGGCAGATGAAATAGGTGGTGGGTGGATGGTGGTTTGGTTGTGATTTTAAAAATATATATATTTTTATTGATTTCAGAGAGGAAGGGAGATAGAAACATCAATGATGAGAGTCACTGATCAGCTGCCTCCTGCACGCTTCACACTGGGGATTGAGCCTGCAATCTGGGCATGTACCCTGACTGGGAACTGAACCATGACCTCCTGGTTCATAGGTCGATGCTCAACCACTGAGTAGTTGTTTTTAAGAGCAACCAGCACTCTTGAAGAGGAAGGACAGAACTCCTGAAGAGTTTGTTCCTTTGGCTCCAAGATAACCCAGGCAAAGCCAAGTTTGGCTTCAAATGAGCTGAGACAGGAAAATTATTCCCACACAACGGCCCAGGTGTGTAAGGGCCTTATGATGACATGGGGTTGAGCCTGGAAGTTTTTGTCCGATTGTCATTACTCCACTGGTGTCCCCGACTCAAGCTGGTGCACCGCTCCACCAGACTTATGGTTCTTGTGTTTGAGGCCTCCCTGCTGCTCCGTGGGTCAGGTGTCCTCTGCACCCAGGGGCAGGTGCCATATTCAACCACTGGCTTCAGGGTAGCCTGGGCTGTCCTACCTTCCTCCTGACTGTCCCACCTTCCATCCTGAGGGTATACGTAAGGGAACGTATGGCATCACCACCACTGACAGAACAGCAGAGAGCACAGGAAGCAGGGTGGCAGGGAGGACCACTGGAAGGGTAGCTGCAGTCCCAGACTTCAATCAGTATTTTAATTACCAAGTCTATATTTAACAAGACAATGTGGGAGAAATAAAGAGGAAGGAAGGGGTGGGTAGTGAGAGGCCTCAGAGGCGCTGACCCACTTTCTGCACTGGCTGCAGAGCCCTGCAGTCCTGGCCAGGGTTCCTGGCCTCGTGCTCTTCAGAAGCCCCAACAGGCGTTGAAGGAGGTGCTTAAGCGGCTACAGCTCTCTGGCAGCTGCAGCCCAACAGAGACGTGTCTTCAGTTCTGTCCTTGAATCTTCCTCCACTCTGCAGCAGGGTTCCAGGGGCTGGCCAAGGGTTTCAGGTGGGTCAGTGTGACCGCAGGGTCACCTCGACGGCCTTGACTGTAGTGTTGAGCACGGTGGCTGGAAGCCTCACAGCAGGGAGTATGGCGGGGATGTCTCTGGGGACCCTCTGCATGGGTGGGATGTTGGGGCCCTCCAGTGTGTCTAGGATCCCTGAGAGGAGGAGGAGGATGGAAGGTGAGCAAGAGCTGGCTGGATCCTGCCCTAGGCAGCTGTGCTTCCCACGCCCAGGCCTCCTGTCACTCACCCTCTACCACCTTGTGGTAGGCAAAGTGCAGATAGAGCAGGAAGAGCATGTGTAGGGCAGCGAGGGTGCCACAGAGGAGCAGCCGCTGGGTAGGGCCCACAGTCCGTGACACCAGCACTGCCACCTAGGGTCACAGGAATACAGCTTGGAGCAGCGGTCACCAACTGGTGGTCCGTGGACCACTGGTGGTCCGTGAGGTCCGAAAGGTTGGTGACCGCTGGCTTAGAGGGCCTGGCTCCAGTGAGCAGAGTGGAGAAGATACTCCTCCCCAGATCAGAACCATCTTCGGGCTCTTCTCCCCCACTGAGAGCCTTTTATGAGGTTCGGCCCAAGCTCTGGCCTTTCCCCAGCTCCCCGGGAGGACAGCCCACCCCTGGAAATCTCCTGCCCAGCTTACCATACGCAAGGTGGACAGCCCCCCCACCAGCAGCCAGAAGAGGTAGAAGAGGGCATGGAGGTGGATGTTGTAGGTGATGAGCAGGACAATGCAGTGCCCAAAGAGGCCATAGCCCTAGGAGGGATGGTGGAGAGGAAAATCTCTCAGGGTGGGCTGGCCTTTGGACCCTCATGGGGACCCTGAGAAGTAAATGGTCCACCGGCCAGCTTATCCCATTCCAGGCCCTGGAGCCCTAGGACAGATGCAGACCAGGGCCCGGCTACTGTTGTAAGGTCACCCTTGCCCACCACCATGCCGGACTCCTTACCAGCAGTGCCAGCATCTGGAGCATGGTGATCTGGGCGTTGCACAGGTAGGCGAGGAAGTAGATGAAGGATGAGACACCCAGCCAGTAGCCAAAGCAGGTGCCAATGGCTGTGCCCATCAGGGTGCCCTCCCGCTGTGGGGTGAAGGCTCTACTTAGTCCTGGGAGGCCTCTGGTCTCTGCCTTACCCAGGGCTATCCTCAGGGCTGCTTCTAACTCACTCCAACATTTTCTCCTTGGGCAGCTTTCAACTCAGCCACCCCCCAAGGTCCTCTGTCCTGCTTACAATAATGGTGTCCGACGTCTTCATCCCGTGGAGGAGGATGGCAACCAGTGTGAAGACCAGCATGAGAGGCCCATAGAGCTCACCAGCGATTTTCTGTCAATATACCAACTCATTCAGGCTGAGGGTACAATGGCTCTTCTGTTTGTTCTTTCCTAGGTTTTGCCTGGTGACCCCTCCCTCTGCCCTAGCGCCTCCCCTGGCTCTTCCAGTCATGCTACCCTCTATTCACCTGGGGGAAGTTGACCATCTTGATAGGGATCATGGACTCCAGGAGCCTGGGAGAGGAGAGATGAGAGCAGAGGCAGCACTTATGAGGTTCTGGAGGGCCTGAACCTTATTCATCTCTCTAACTCCAGAGAACATGCTAGACGGTAAAGGGAGCAGAGGGCAGTAAAGACAGACGGAATGAGGAAATCACTTCGTTGCCCGAAAAATGCTTCCAGGAAGGACCACCTTTGATGCTGTGCTGACTGATGCAGCAGCAAAATGGAGAACCAGGGAGCCCCGCTGGGCGTGGGAGAGGGTTTGACAATTTACCTATTTGAACTGCTCTCCTTTAAAAGGCAAACCTCAGAGAATGCCCAGAGTTCCGAACTGTGATGGCGAAGCCCCGGGAGAGGTTTTGAAGGTGGTACTTGAGGGAACCAGTGTGCCTCCTGCCTCTCTCCTGATTGTCATTCCTCCAGGCACTGCTGAGTATTTTCTTGAAATGATTTTGAAGTGGTATGAAAATCCCAGGCAGAAGGAATACAAGTCCCCATTCCCTGCTTAAGTGGCTAGCTCCTAATAATACCTTGGAATTTGACTAGATTTTACTCCCTCTGGGAAACCCACCCTGTCCCCTCTCTAGCCTACTCTGGGTCAGGTGTCCCCCATATGTCCCTTCATAGCAAAGGAGTGCTGTACTATAACTGCACTCATGGGCAAGGCTCCCATTTGTCTTCCCCACTAACTCAGACACAACTAGTAGAGTATGCAGAGAAAAAGCTTAGTAAGTACTTGCTGAGTGTACTGGGTATTTGCTAAGTATTGGTTACATTAAAGGATCAACAAAGAACCAAACCAAGATTAATTCCAGTTCTTGAAAAGTCATTCAACAACCATGTACTGATATTCTGGTGCAGAGACTGTTCTGGTGCTGGGAATAAAATAAGCAAAACAGAGCCTGCTTTTGAGGAGGTCTCTGGGGTGACGGACCCAAGAATAAGCATAGCATTGCTTAAATAAACGAGGCACTCGGCCTGCCCGCCATGAGTTTGACATGCTTGGTAAGTGTCATCTGCTAGAGGAAAGCACAGACCTCCATGGGAGCGACAGGAAAGGACAAACTGGGGCACTGGGTTGAGGGAATGAGAAACAAAAGGAAGCAAACATTTGGAGCTCGGTTTTGAGGCAAGATGAGTGGTTTCCTAGATGGAAAGAAGAGAAGGTGGTGGGGTAACACCATGTCCTGTTCCGGGACTGGTAAGAGGAATGGTGTAGCTGGAATACAGATGTTAATGACGAGGGCTGGTGGTGTCAAGAAGAGGGGAGTTCTAAGGGCTTGGTCTCTGGCTGTAGTTTAGATGTGAGGAGGGCAGCGTCTGC